GCCAAGTGATTTCAGGGTGTCGAGAATGGGACCCTTGAGCGCGGAATGAGGTCCAACTTCAACGAGCAGGTTGGGCTTGTTCTCGGCGCCACACATCTTGCTGAGGGCATTGGCGAAAAGCACCGACGATGTCAAGTTCTGCACCCAGTAGCTCGGGCCAAGGTCGGTCGCCTGGCCAATTTCACCGGTCACAGAAGAGAAGAAGGTAGCAGTGGCAGTGTCCGATGGCTGTACTGACTCAATGGCGGACAAGTACGCCTCACTGACGTTCTTCATGTGGTCAGAATGGTAAGCGACGTCAATCATGAGCTTACGGTTGAAGATCTTCTTCTCTTCGAGGATGAGTTGCAGCTCCTCAATAGCCGGGACATCACCAGAGATAGTGACACTGGAAGGGCTGTTGACACAGGCCACAGTAGCGTATCCAGCGGAGAGGGTCTTCAGCATCGGCTTAATGTCTTCCACACTGGAGCCAACGGCCATCATAGTACCCTTGAGGTCGGGGTAGGTGCTCTTCAACAACTCGGTCATTTGGCCACGGCGGTACGCAAGGGTCATGGCACCCTCAAGGTCGAAAATGCCAGCAGCGTACGCGGCGCCAATTTCACCGGAACTGTGACCAACGACGGAGCTCGGACGGATATCCCAGGAGCGAAGCAAGTCAACAAGGGCAACCTGCAGAGCAGTGCATGCCGGTTGACTCAGGTAAGGCGTGTTGATCCGGGAGCTTTCCACATCCTTCTGCAGCTCCTCGAGAAGTGAGAAGTCAGCACCCAAGTCCTGAGACAGGCATTTGTCGGCGCGCTCTACGGCAGAGGCAAAGACAGGGTATTCATCCATCAGAGGCATACCCATCTGAGCCCACTGGGCTCCCTGTCCAGTGAAAACAAATGCGACCGAAGGACCATCACCTCCGACCACACGGGCTGGGTTGATCTTCATCTGCGCAAGTTGAACACCAGCATCGTTGAGCGACGTAGCGGACAGAGCGATACGGAATGGAAGGTGAGAGAACTTGCTTCCAACTGTATAGGCGAAGTTGCTAAACAAGGTGTTTTCGAAGACCTCGGGACGTTGCTCAAAGTAGATACCGTAGTCACGGCTTCTCTGGCGCAGAGCTTCTCGGTCATTTGCTGAGATCAAAATCAGACGGCGCTTGCCTTCTTTTTCCTTGAATGTCTCTTCTGGCGCCGTCTGCGAAGGTCCCTTTTGCAATACAACATGTGCGTTCGTACCACCGAAGCCGTAGTTGGAAATACTGATATATTTCTTGCCACGGGGCCACGGGCGCGTCGAGTTCACGACCTTCATGTTCCACTCCGCTAACGGGATCTTGGGGTTGGGCTTCTTGTATTCGGCATTGGGGAGTAGAAGCCCACTATCGAGCATCATGGCGGACTTGATGACAGAAACAATACCACTGGCACCTGTTAAATGGGAGATTTACAGTTAGCAATAAAGAGAAAAGAAGAAAGGAGTCTTGTTTACCTTCAAGGTGGCCAACATTGGTCTTGACTGATCCTATATAAAGCGGGTTTCTCGCGTTTCGGTTCTCTCCAAGTACTGCATGAATAGCAGTTGCCTCGATGGGATCTCCGGCCGCGGTACCTAGACAATATTAGCTTACTTGGGCTTTCAGTGAGGATTTTTAGTGACATACCTGTGCCGTGGGCTTCGACGTAGCCACAGTCTGCTGGGTTCAAGTTCGCTTCCTTATACACCCGGCGGATCAAATCCTCTTGGGACTGGCCATTTGGTAGGGTAATTCCCTTAGTTCTTCCGTCTTGGTTTACACCAGAATGAGTAACCACAGCACGGATGGGATCGCGATCGCGGATCGCAGCAGAGAGAGTCTTAAGCATAATTACACCGGCACCCTCGCCACGGGCAAATCCGGATTTTCCTCTCTCTTCAAAAGCGTATGTTCTTCCCTCTTCGCTGAGCAATCTGTGGAAATGTGAAGGTCAACGACTGCCGGGTACAAAGAGGTGAACGATCACCATTGGAGACGAAGGACTCACTGCTGCATAGACATGGAAATGGAGTTTTCAGGATTCAGAAGCAAGTGGCAACCACCGACAAGGGCCTCGGTAGATTCTCCGTTCCTCAGACTCTGCACAGCAGTGTGTAAGGCAACGAGAGAAGACGAACAGGCCGTATCCACTGTCAAACTAGGGCCCTTTAGGTCGAACATGTATGAAATTCGATTAGCCTTGAGACCAGGGGCACACCCTGTGGCTTGGAACATGGGAGTCGTCTCAGTATCGCGCATGTTGTTAGATTCGTAATCCGCAAAGTTTCCTCCCATAAAAACACCGACACTACGTCCGGCCATATATTCTCTGGGAATACCGGCGCTCTCCATTGCTTCATATGCACATTCCAGCAAGAAGCGGTGTTGTGGGTCCATGGCAACGGCCTCCTGGGCACTAACGTTAAAGAAAGGTGCGTCAAATCGTGAAACGTCACCAACGAAGTAGCCACCTGTTTGATTGGAGGTGCCTGCTTTCGAAGGGTTCGGGTGGTGGTAGGCTTCTGGTGACCACCGTTCTTTGGGGATGGGACACCAGCCGCTTCGCCCTCTTGTGCATAGTTCCCATAGATCACTTGGGGAAGAGACCTGACCAGGAAGTCGGCAGGAGTATCCAATAATCGCAATGGGCTCCAGAGCCGGGGACTCTCCCGGAGACTGTGGCCCATTGGCGCCTGCTGTAGTGTTCATAGCTGGGGACATCTTTCTGGGTGTGTTCAAAAGGAGTGAATAGTGATAGTAAGGATGGGCAAGTATTAAGGACTGCTATATGCCAGTCTGGAGCCCAGCGCGAAAGGAAGGAGGGAATGGAATGCAAAGGAGATGAAGGAACACAGAAGACAAAAAGGAGAAAAGAAAAAGATGTAGAGAATAAGGATAGACCAGTTCACACGTGTAAATTCTTCTCTGTAAAAGGCAGAGAGCAGACGGCCCACTTGGTGAAAGAAAAGCAGGACGATCGGCAATTTTAAATCACAGACGGGGCTATCTGACAACTAAGAATACAAATACAGACGGCATTGGGTAAGAATGTCCAAGTTCTGCCTCGTACATATACAAAGTCTCCAGATTAGGGGTTGGCCCAAGGCCAACAGGAGTTTGGCAAACCTTTCCGTAGTGGGGAGCTATGCACCTATTTCAATTTTCGGGATTGATAAATCCAATCAAGTTAACGCAATACTTAGACTTTATGGCTTCTTTGTAAAAAAATGGGGACTTGATCTATGGGTCTTGTTCCTGCATCTGATTTGATTATGTGTGGATCAACTAAAGTGTGGCGGTCTGCCGATCGCATCGCCTCAGAGAAATAGCCTATGGATCATATACGCCGATCGAAGGCATTCGGGCTCAGGGATCGGCAAAGCTCCCCCAACATTTTATTAAATATTTTCAGCTCCGTAGCGTTTGCCATCGACTTATTACCTTCGACCCTGTTCAATTCATCCTCTCATCATTAGTATACGGCGGTTTTTGATCATGCATTTCCTATGTCTTCACGGTGCCATTGGCAACACTGATGTGAGTGCGCAAAATTGAGCGTGCAAAATTGGAGTCGTGCTAACAAACACGCAGAATATCACCATTCAGCTAGGTAATTAGCGCCCGAAAAATTGGTCATATGGTTGTTGACAGGGAACTCTACAATCAGCACCACTACAGAAGGATTTGGGTTCAGACGCAACTTTTCACTATATCAACGGACCCCTGCCTTTTATCCCTCCACCAGGTAAAATTTGCCCCCTGGATAGAGGCGTGTTCTGAGGCCTAACCAACGCTACAGGATTTGAGGAATACTTCGGAGTCGGACCGCATTATCGGTGGGCTGACGATGGCCAAGCGCCAGAAGATTCGTGGATTATGCGCATTCGCGGCAATGCAGCTCCCAGCGACAATACAAACAACGAGGATGCGATGAGAGGGTTACTTGGAGAAGGGTCTTGTAAGAACCACCCCGAGCTCATGAAATACATCTACGATGCACTAGAGCGGAATCCCGAGATCAGTGGAATTATCGCATACAGCGAAGGAGCTATGGCTGCTTCCACTTTCATTTTGGATGAAGAACGCCGGCATCGCGAGGAAGGTCGGGAGCGCCAGATCAAATGCGCCATGTTCGTCGGTGGCTGGCCTGCCATGAGACCGAACAGCGGATTCATTCTCGCAGACGATGGAGGAGAGGAAATGATCGACATTCCCACTCTCCATGTTGTGGGTGCAAATGGTAATAAATGATGCCTCCCCTATCTTTTTGACACTTGGCTGATCTATCTATGCAGATCCCTTCCGATACGGCTCTGAAGCCCTTTACGACATCTGCGACCCTGACACTGCCGAATATTTCGATATGGGTAAAGGACATGTCATTCCACGGTCTGGCTTAGTGATCGGAGAATTGAGCAATGCCCTTCGGGGATTGGTCAAGAAGACAGAACCGGAAGAGTAAGGAGTAAGGGTCGGGGGATCGTATCGCAAGATCGTACCTTTTTATGTATTATTACGTCGGTGGTGGGTCGGATCGGCTGCTGAGGAACGAGTGATCGAGTCCTAATTTCAATCGCGCACTATCGGTAGTGTCTCGGCTTATCACCGGGTTCGAGATCTGCAGCGCTAGAATGTAATTGTTGTACTTTACTTGAACCTCCACTAAAAAGTGGAACGTTAGGTTTATGGCCCAAAGCTGAAAACTTTCCTAGGCATCTCGTACTCAGGGGTCCCGATCGTCCATTGTGGAGATAACTAGTGAAGTATCCAAATTAATTGGATGTTATGATTTTGTTGACTGTAAACGGAGTACACATGAGCTCCATACTATACGTGTTTCATTTGAGCGCGGGAACAAATCGTTTAAAATGGCAGGGATCATCGAGAGCTGTTTCCACGACCCAGATAGGACTGTGGAATTGCTCTCTGTCACTGTTTGCTTTTCCTTCTCTCCAACTCTTCAACCAAAGGCATTTCAGCTTTCAAAATGCGTTTCTTGTGTCTTCACGGTTCACTGAGCAGTGGCTCTGTAAGTGAATATCGTCCCTGAAGTGGGGTCACCGGGATTATACTGATTGTCGCAGACTTTCGACGCGCAGCTAGGTACCGTTGAATTGCTGATGGAGAAGTTCTCATACACTGACTCGTGAAATAGGGCCGTTGCAACAAAATTTGGCTGCCGACAACGCAGCTTCATTTTATTTTATTAATGCGCAGCTATACGGCACGGCCCCCGAAGGTGTGATACACTCGCGATGATTGAATTGAAGCGATCTAATAGAGGCAGGAAATGAGGGATTTTTTGGACCCAAGCCACACTACCGCTGGCTTGACTACCAGGGTGTTGAAACAGAAGCACTACACCAATCAGTACGCGGCGCGCGAGGCAACTCAGATGCTCCCGCAGAAGAGCTTCTCAGTGAGATGATGCCCGTTAATCTCACCTGGGCCAACCATAAAGATATTATGGAGTATCTCGACAAGAACCTTGAGGAGAATCCTGATATTGAGGGCATCTGTGGATACAGTGAAGGAGCCTCTATGGCAGCGACGTACATCTTGCATGAGCAAAAGATGGAGCAGGAGCACGGCCGCCCTCGGCGAATTAAGTGTGGTATTTTCTTCACGGGCCTGCCCCCAATCGACGAAAAGAAAGGATACATCTTCGCTGATCAGCGAGAGGAGATGGTTGATATCCAATCGATCCATGTCATTGGCGCGGCTGGTACGTGTTGTCTTTTATGCAAGAAAAAAGAGCTCTCGACGGTTGGCTAATTGTTACGTTTTTATGGATAGACCCTTTCCGTTGCGGCGCCGACTCGCTATACAACGTCTGTGACCCCGATACGGCCCAATTCTTCGATACTGGCAAGGGGCACACTGTTCCGCGCTCAGGACCTATCATCACTGAGCTTGGAGATGCGATTCGAGAAATGATCCAGAGGGCCAAAGAAGAATGAAAGACTAGCCTGATAGGAGATAGATTGATCGGTGTCACAGAAGTAACAGTTGCGCGGTCATTGAATATAAATTACCTCTCTATCGATAATGTAGTCGTATATTCAAAATAACCTTATCGCCAACCAACTTGGCGTACTGGTCGTGTACTAACGAATTGTTGGGTGTCTGAGGTATCCACAACTAGACTACAATCATATCTCCCCATTACTCCACGTTCTGCTCTCAGCAACTCGAAAGAAATTATCTCTCAGGTACTAATCAAATTTTAAATCGATGTATCCAGGTCTGAGAACCAATGTCAGATACGTAAAATTTGATTGCGGTATTCAGGTGATCCCTTGTATTATACACTTTTAAGTAAATGTGGGTTTCTAACCCAAACAGAATCAAAACCCGAACATGGGCGAAAACCCACCATTGAATCGAAAGACTAATGAATGACAGGCCCCACTCAAATTTCCTTGGTTTTGTGCAACAAATTTCGGGGATTTTGAAGGATTGCAAAAAAAAAAAAAAGGCAATCTTGGGCTTGGCGATCGAGTGGTTTCATTGCCGATGATGGGAGTCTTAAAGCCGGCGACCCACCCCTGCAGCTAGTCAGAAAAGTAAGAACGCTCCGAGAAAATACAATGGCTGCTGTCACGGCTTATTCGACGAGGCGTTGATTTCTAGAAGTCTAATTTCAAACATGTGATCTAAGGATCTAAGGATCGACATAGGCCTCTTTGGAACCCATTGCAAACCTACAATATATGCAAACTTGCGACGGGTTTAAAAGTTCTGACATGCCGCCATAATTATAATATAAGCTCTAGCGCCGTTTTCCTACTTATTTATCCTCGCTTAGCCTCCCGCTATGAAGAGGTGCATTGGGCTTGGACCATAACCCCCGCGATGGCCTCATTTATGGCTGTAGGCACAACATCTCGTCACCACGAGTCTTCACTGACCAGAATTGCGTGACCGGTTTAAATTATTCTTGCGCTTTGTTCCGGAGTATAAAAGCACTAAAACTATACTAATCTTTCAAGATGCGTGCCTAGATCAACTAACCCCCACGAGATATACTGCATTGCCCTTTTCTTTCAATCACTGAACATGGCAAATGAAGATGTGAAGACTGTGCAGATATCTGCCAGTCTGAAAGACTCGCCGGGTACTAGTATCGGGGATGACTCGGATAGGGAACGACAGCAGAGCCACTCAAACAAAGCGGAAGGCACATTCGAGGCTGCAGACAATCATCACCTCTTCAGGCCTATTGACAGCTACGAGGGACTTCATCGCTGGGATCCGGATTTTCAATGGACAGAGCAGGAAGAAAAGAAGATCGTTAGGAAGGTTAGTGATTTCTCTTTCAAATCAGGCACAGACGCTCAGACAGAAATTTGAACAGATTGACCTCCGTGTTTGCACCTTTGCCTGCGTGACATTCTTTGCATTACAGCTTGATCGAGGAAACATCGGCCAAGCACTGTCAAGTACATTGCTCAAGGATCTGGAGATGACAAGTAATGATTACAACTTGGGTCAAACTATATTTCTTGTCTGCTTCTTACTGGCCGAGATGCCCTCGCAATTGATCTCCAAGAGACTGGGCCCCGATCGCTGGATTCCGATTCAAATGATCTCTTGGAGTTTGGTTGCAGCCTGTCAGGCTTTTTTGCAAGGACGCGCATCATATCTGGCCCTTCGGGCCCTGCTAGGACTTTTGGAGGGTGGCTTGTGAGCGGCCAAGTTCAAATGATGTGAGATTTTGACTAATGATGTCCAGCATACCCGACACTGTCCTCTTCTTGTCTTTCTTCTATAAGTCCAATGAGCTGCCCAAACGATTGACCTGCTTCTGGATCTCCCTAATAGTTGCTGGGATTATCGGCGCATTCCTGGCTTTCGGCTTTCTCCATATTACCGACTCTCATGGTGGGGGTTCATGGCGATACCTATTCGCATATGAAGGCCTTATAACGGGCATCATTGGAATTATCGCCGTACTCTGGATGCCCGCATCGCCGGTACAAACGAAGGGAGGATTCCGTGGCAAAAACGGATGGTTCAATGAACATGAAGAAAAGATCATTGTGAATCGAGTTATCCGAGATGATCCTAGCAAGGGTACTATGCATAATCGCCAAGCAATCACACCACAGCTTATGTGGGCGTCGTTGAAGGACTTCCATATGTGGCCACTTTACATTATTGGGCTGATCTGGATGATTCCCTCTGGGCCAGCGACTAACTACCTCACGTTACAATTACGATCGCAAGGATTCACGACTTTCCAGACTAATTTATTGGTTATTCCCTCGGCCGTCGTTGGGATCATCACTATAATAGCCATTACTTGGCTGGCAGAGCGTACAAACCAACGCCTACTGTGCGGTGCAGTGATGGGAGTGTGGAACTTGATTTTGTTAATTGCATTAGAGGTGCTTCCACAAAAAAGCATGCCCTGGCCTAGATGGACTATCCTCACTCTGCTTGTCGGAGGACCCAGTATTCACCCTGTTCTGGTGGCTTTGACCTCACGAAATGCTGGGTCTGTACGGACTCGTACTGTGGCTTCTGCATTGTACAATATGACGGTGCAAATCTCCAGCATTGTCAGCGCTAATGTCAGTTTCCAATTATTAACTGACTTTGTCGATTGCCTGGTGATGCTGACAATCACAAACAGGTCTATCAAGCAAAAGACGAACCATATTACAGGCATGGGAACAAGGTTTTGATCGCACTAGCGGTGTCTGGTATTGTCCTTTTCATTGCTGCAAAGTTCTATTATGATTGGCGTAACAAGTAAGTATACATATCCTCCTGTGGTCTGTAAAGGCGAACCCTACTAACACATATCCAGACAAAATGCAGCCCAATGGAACGCTATGACAAGCGAAGAAAGAGAGCTTTACCTACGCGAAAATCCAGTGTTGACTAACAAGAGGTATGCGGACATGGAAAATTACATTTGTACCCAGTACTGACGAGCTAACAATTAATGCAGAATTGATTTCCGGTTTGCTCTTTGAAGTCTGCTCACTGCTCGGGTAATTCCTACTGTGATGTACGTATATATTTCGACTGGGGTGGAAACAACACTGTACATAGTCAACTTACAATCCACATGTCTAGCAGTCTACATTACCCGGGGCATGCTAAATATATATATCCATTCGAATTCAGTCAAGACTTTCGGAACAAGAATTTATTTATCCGAGGTTGGCTTCATAGGATGCACATGCGACCGTGTTTAGCGAAATGGGTTTAGCCACCCAGCTGGTGACAAGGTGATGGATGTAGCTTGTAGGCTCGTTTTTAATTGAACGCCGGTCAAAATTGCAAAATCGTGGCTTAAATGAGACCATTTTCGCCAATATATTTTTGCCGACGATAATCGCGCCAGGTTTGGCACTAATGTTGCAATATTTAGTGAGGGGTTTGTGTACATCAACCGCGCCCACGTAAACTCACACTAGAATATGGCTAGAAAATGTTTCCTCCAGATTTTTATCATGGCAGTAGAATAATCAATTGATAAGCCTAACATTGCAACCTAAAGTCCTCGTTCTCTGCGTAAAATTCTTCGTGTACGATGTTCATTCAATGATCATGTCTCTCTTGTGACTACCCTTATGAATCCTATTAAAACTTGGTGCTCAAACCTTCGCTTGCTCTGCTTCTGCAATGTATGGTGTTTCGTAAGGACGCTCAGCCTGCAGTGTGATACGTGCCAAGTGACGACGCTCACCCGTCACCCAGTCAACGACTGCAGAGTGCGCGGTGATACGGTTCTTTGAATATGTTAGCCTCTGTCATCGCCAGCCAAGTAACAGAGAAATCGACTTACATCCCAAACAACAACAGTCTTTGGGGCCCACCGAATACGAGCCTGGTAGTCGATACCCCGACCGATATGGGCCAACAAGAAGCCTAAGAGAGCATCACTTTCCTCTTTCTTAAGGCCGATAATGCTGCGAGTGACTTTCCGTCGTGTGAGTTCAGGCATTCAACATCTAGAAGGCCAACTTACAGCCAGCATTCACGAAAAGCGCCTTTTCGCCAGTCACAGGATGAGTCCGGACAAGGGGGTGCTCATTCTTCACGGGCTCTCGTCTTACAACCCCTCCGCGGCTCAGACTAAATTCGGCCTGCTCAATCCCAGAATGCACAGCCTTCAACCCATGCAGCCTCTCTTTGAGCGCTGGTGAAAGCCGGTTATAAGCCTCAACCTGGTCCACGAAAACAGTATCGCCGCCGACCTCTGGACCATCCAGAATGTACAAGAACGTCGTCCCAGGTGGCTGCTGCTCGTAAGTGACATCGGAATGCCATGATACGCTGCTATTCTTCCCAGCGAGAAACTGATCAAGTCCCCAGTCATTATTGTGTCGGTGAACCAGATGGATCTCTGGATATCCCTCTGGAGACCCACTAGTGGGATGAATATGATGCCGGCCAAAGTACCCTCCGAACTCAAGCGCTTCGTCAATCGGTAAGCTAGCAAGATCTTGGTCTCTGAAAGCCACAACCTTGCGTTGAGCAACGAGGAGGGCGAGTTGGTCTTTTCCGGCGGAGGTGAGCTTGCTTAACTGGATGCCTGTGACTTCGGAGCCGATCGTTGGTGTGATCTTTTGAATCTTGGATCCTTCGGATAGGAGGTCTTTCAGGGATGTATCTGCATCTTTGCCGTGATCGACATGAGTGAACGGCTCAAGGGGAGGGTATTTCTCGCCATAGTCCCAAGTGGGTAGGTAGGCTGGATACTAAAGTTAGCCTGAGTGAGCTTTCTGTAGAGATATCTATCAACGGGTTAGTCGTGGCGTACACTGGCAGTAGTATTTCCCCCTTCCTCGTCGATAACCCTTCTGACTCGGGCTTTGGGGTTGGAATCGGCTGGTCTAGGGTCGGTCTTAATAGGGACGGTGATCTCTGCAGCGGGAGTTTCGATGATGGATGGCGCCATGTTTGTTCTTTTATTCCTTCAAATTGCAGAAGCTTTGCAACAGGGAGTCCCCTTGGCTCTATCGACTTAAATACACCACTCTCATTTTTGTTCGCGTCATTCGATACTGGAGTCACGTATGAACTTAGATATACATAACCTTTAGGGGCGTAATTTGAGGGCCTTTGACGAATCAATTTGAGCACCAAGCGGGGTAAATGATATTGCACAACTAAAAGAAGTCCATCTGATGGCTTGCGTGCTATATTCAACAATAACACCTTACGAGAGCCGTTGGAGCCTATGTACGCCGAGGCAGATTGATAATGTGAGTATGGCGTCATCCGATATAACAGCCTTACAATAAGAATGAGTGACGAAGAACGTGACAACAACGTGGCATTCAGCTTTCCTGATGGTAGTAGTAACGCAGTGAACGACTCTGCTACGGGAAACGTATCATAAGGTGCTTGACTTCAGCGCAGAACGCTCAGTATCTCCAGATCCGAGTATTCAATCACTCACTGAGCACTTAAGAAGTATGAGACCCGATTGATATCTACTCGACTTGACTCTGAGAGCCATATAAAAACAGCGGCAACTCAGATATAAATTCTCACGCGGCAGAGCGAATATACTACAAAAAGCAACTGATTTAGGCTTTTTAAAGCCTGTCTCTATTTTCTATTTTCTGCATTCTTCTCCGTTAGAGGAATAACCATCACCATTGTCAAAATCAGATCCACAAAGCACACTGGACGTATCCCTTCTACGAGGATGCAAAGCTGCTCCTTGCTCTTAGCCTAGCTCCAAATCTCCAAAACAGCCACATGCCAACGATACCAAAAACGGAAATACTCCCCAAGAGAGTAACACCTTTGCTGACCCCGAGGTCGTCGTACATATAAGTGCTGACAATTATAATAACTGCCGCTGTAGCCGATCGTGTAAAGTCACTTGCTGCAAGGAGTGAGGCGACGAACTCTGGATAAGTAATTGGGAGGTATGTCAATATGGCCTGGAAAACACCGAAGGTGGCACCGGCATGTATCGCAATGCCGAGAGTGGGCACAACCCAATGGATGGATTCTCGCGCCGTCCAGGCAAAGATAAACAAACCAACAGGTGTCAGTACCACGCCTGGGAGAGCAGGGATGAGGTTTTTCTCGTGCAGATTCAAGGAAACCAATTCTTCTTGTGATTCAGTCACCTGACTCTGGTAGAAAACGTAGATGGAAATGGCAACCAGACAGCCTACCACAATGGCTAGGAATGTCAAACTATATGAGATGGCCGACATCTTGTAAATATCTTGGTATACCAGAGGAAACACCTCAAAAAAGGAGTAATAGATAGCGTAAATGAATGAGGCATAGATGCAAATGAATCCTATCGCAGGGTCTTTAACTGCGATTTCTGTTGGCCGAATCAACGATTGGCTGATATGTGTTGACATTTTGATCGGGGTGAGTTCACACTGGGCGATAAGATTCCCATTCCCGGTGACTTTGCGGAGGCGTCGCGCTCGATGCAGAAGAATATTGCTTGACGAGGTCTCGGGAAGAAAGCACATCATAAAAAAAACGGATCCACCCATTATGGCAATTTGCCATAGTGGCCAGTGCCAATTTAGCTTTTCAACAGCCTTGCTGCCAAGTAGAGGTCCTACTGCTGGACCGCAATAAATGCAGGCTACCCAGATAGCAATGCCATAAGGGGCAGCCGAAGGGGAATAAATATCGTGGATAGTTGCGCCACCTGTGGCTAGACATGGACTTCCGAAGAAGCCTTGAAAGAATCGAAGCACAACAATTGCAGGGAAATTGTCGAGCACTGCTAGACAGATAGAGATGATAACGAATATTGCAAACGATATGATATAAGGCGGGTTCCGTCCGATCGAGGGTATTTCGCTCAGTGGGGAAAACAGCAATGGACCGATACCATCTAGAAACGTCATACAGTGTGAGATAGATGTCCTAAAGTTGTGTCGAAAGTAGCTTCAGATTACTCACATCCCACGACATAAAGTGCCAGTACAAGAGACACCGTGACCCTTGAGTGCCCGAATTGGGCCATCATTGCTTCATAGCTAGGTATAAATATCGAAGAGCCACAGTACACAACGAAAGAGTATAGTCTGTCACAGTCAGTTTAACTTCTCAAACTTGTGCTGTGGACAAGAAACGACGCACGATATCACACCGGCCACCCATGCTTTAAGAATTGTGGGCCAGTTTTGTGGATTTTCAGCATCATCTGGCCCAGACCAAGATATGATAATACGGTCAGAAAATTTCGGGCTATCAATAAGTGGAGTTTAGATATGGCACGCATCAAGTTAGGTTCGAAGACTCACTCGATCTCTTTGAGGCTATCAGCGCGTTCAATTTCTCCTGATGAAAGCCACGGTTTTTGACCAAAAACAAATCGGGATATTTCTCCCAAAGGTGTTTTGCTGATCCACTGAAATGATGCTTCCATGCTGGATTTAAAATTCCGCGATTAGAAGCAGGGTACAGCTCAAATGTGAAATTGTAGGTTAATGGCAGAAGCAAAGGTGAAGAAGACTACAGATGTCTTGGAATAATATCTAATATAAACCATACTAATCAGTAATATCTAATCAAGTTTCTAAGAAGTTCCGAAGGTGTTGGCTAAGGTAGTCGCGACGCATACCATCATTATGCAGGGCTACGTCACGTCATACTTCAGGCTGCACATCATGGCCCTTGCTAGTCAAACAAGCAGATTGATATTCTCAGCCTACATTTTTGTCACACGTTGCTTATCAAAAGGGGATTCCAGGTCAAATCGGATGTCACACAATTGGGATTGACGAAAGTGGTGATCTGCGCATGAAGGTTCAAGTTTTCGTAGGCTTCTTATCATGGATCTTCCAAGCTTGCCTCCAATTAATCATATGCATATTGGCTGGACAGTACCATTCCCATATTACGAAATAACGGGGCGCATTCAATGGGCTTTGAGACCAATTTTTCTTACCTTTTATACTTGTTCTGCGGTATAATACATCCCAATACTCAGTCTAGTACATACGACCACAGGGTGTGGAGAACAGGGCTTCCCGTCCGCTCAGCCGTACTTAAGCCACACGCCGGTAAGTTAGTAGTTAGGTGGGTGACCACTAGCGAATCCTTACTGTTGTATGTTTTTTTTTTACCTTGGGGGCGCTTTCTTTTTTGCCTTCATCCACTCTTGCAATATTACTTCTCTACCTACCCATGAGAAGATTTTACGGAAAAAGCATTGTGTTTACGAACATTAATACTTATTAAACCGAGATATCTCGAACAGAGGACGATGTATATCCGCGAAACTCTATTCGGGAGTATGATACCTCGCGGTCGTCATTGAGAGTCTTACCACTTACCCAAAGAAGGTGAAGTCTTGTCAACGAGGATCTATTCGATGCACTCTCACTTTGTTAAACACATAAATTATTCTTGGTCCGCAACCTGTGTCGCATTCTTTGTGCAAGTGACACTAGCACTATACAGCATCCAGATTCTTCGACAGGACTTCTACTTACATTTGGTATTGCATGATCAATCAATCTGCTCTAGGGCCTGAAGGTCCGCCTTCTATCACATGATCGTGATTATTCTCGATCAGACTGGCAGAGTACGAGGTATTGCATGAGCCACCGTCTCCTGCAGACCCTCACTCTCAGCTGAGTGCCTAAATTGACACACAGGTGCTCAGCCCAATGGAGGCCAAGGGTGGCGGATACCTCGTCCGTTGCTTATTGATGCCTCATATAGCGTGGGGCTGTCGTGGTTATGGTGGATGCAAGATGATTTTACTTTTCTCACTTATGACGCCTATTGCATACTTTTATCGGACCCCAATCTCGATATAAGATTTAGCTACACACTGGTTGAACACTGGTTCTCAACATTGATGCAAACAAATATAACAATATTTTAGGCATTGATAAGCGTCAGTATATTTCAAAATGATTATTGCAAAGGGTTTAATGGTTAATTCTTTTGTACTGGATAAGTCCCTTGATGGTTATCTTACACGTGCAAGCCAAGAATTCGTGTTCGTATATAGTCTTCTTGCTCTGAGTATCGCGGCAATAATGTCAAAAAGTACAAATGTCAGATTTGCCAAGCAGGGCCTAGACCCACGGTATACCCTACCACTTTTATTTAAAGTATATTAAGAGTTTGAATACGGGACAAGGGAATACCCCAGCCAACTAAGTATCGCTAACATCGACAATACCCCCGCAGAGTGGAATATAGGCATGTTGCCTCCCCGCCCCCATGATAACGATTTTGTAAAGTCTTCCCCTGCAAATAACTGCGAAATAAAATATGATTTATGTATAGACTAGAAGCCACCATCAACTCGGTGCTGTATTTAGCAATGACCTAGGTTTGAGCCTGGTGATCTCGTTGCTGCAGGCGCCCAGCTACTGGTGAGGCTGATCGTAACGCAGTCTTGGAAGCTTTTTCAGTTTGAGGGCTTTAATTGAGCCTCAGCCATCCGCCACAATATGATGTGATCAGTTAGGCGCACTGCAGAAGAATGGCGGTCAAAGCACCCCAGATCTTGCGCTGAATTCCATCTTAAGTGGTGCTTAGGATAAAGTATATAATAGAATCCAAAATATTTCTTTGTTGATATATGATCAAGGGAAGAATATTGGGTTTCTGCTGTGGTTTGTGGTGCAGAACCAGCTAGAAGATGGGCTTGACAGTCAGAGCCATGAGTGCACTTTGCCTACTAGTGCTCCTGTTCAGCCAGTTGGTCCTTGGTCTTCGCTATCATCAAGAATTGTCCGAGTACAACCTAAATGAGAACAAGACTGCAAAGCGTGTTCTTGATTACTGGGGCAAATGGCCAAAGCATACATATAATCCGTCGCCATCAAACTGGCGATTTCCCTTCTACACACTCTTTCTCGATCGATTTGTTGATGGCGACCCGGAAAACAATGACATCAATGGGACTGTGTTCGAGACCGATACTATTTCAAACCAGTATCGGTTTGGAGGGGACATGACTGGATTGAGAGAGAATTTGGATTACATACAAGGCATTGGGATCAAAGTAAGTAAGCCCTTATGTTGTTTTGATGAATGAAACTGACAATGCACTCTGTTTGAAGGGAGTCTATATCGCTGGAACGCCCTTCGTGAACTTTCCTTGGAAGTCGGATAGCTATTCAGTATGCAAGCCTAATCTCAAACAATATGTACCCAACTAACCGGAAACAGCCGCTAGACTTCAGTCTATTGGACAAACACTATGGTACCATTCAACAGTGGAGATCTGCGATCGATGAAATTCACCGACGAGGGATGTATGTTATGGCGGACAATACCTATGGCACGTCAGTATTCTTGGTCTCCTCGGAAGCAGCACTCAATTTGACATTTATTAGTATGGCGGATTTGCTCGGGTTCGAGGGCTTTCTCAACAGTACTGCGCCGCTGAACCCACTCGAATACAGAACGGTTTGGAAGGAAGATCAAAAATATTTTGATTTCAGTCCCAGCAATCAATACAAGAAAGAGTGCAAGTATCCCATTTTCTACTCCGAGGTGGGAGTGCCCATTGGAAATGAGACCGACTTCCTCAATCAACTGAAGGGCTGCTATGACAGTGATTTTGACCAGGTCAGTGTCCTTCGGTGAAAATGTAAAAACTAGCTCACTAACTTCTAACTTGATTAACAGTATGGTGCTATTGACTCTGTCAGCCTCGCACCTGACTGGCAAAAGTCTTTAGCAAAAGCTGCTTTGGTGCAAGACCGGCTTCGAGAATGGGTTCCATCAGTCAGACAAAAGATCGAGCACTTCACTTGCATGTTAATCACCTCCCTCGATATTGATGCGCTCCGCTTCGATAAAGCAGGCCAAATTACAGTGGATGCATTTACAAGTAGCTCCCTAGCCATTCGCAGATGTGCGTCTCGCCTGGGAAAAGACAACTTCTTCATCGGGGGCGAGTTCACTGCAAGCAACTCTTACGCCTCAATCTATCTCGGCCGCGGACGCGAGCCAGAAATGAGGCCAAACAACGAGACTGAAAGCATTTCTCTCACCAATGCTTCGGATGATCGGTATTTTCTTCGGCAACCAGAGGGGCACGGGGCAGATGCGGCAGTGTTTCACTACAGCATCTATCGTGCTCTTACTAGGTTTCTCGGTATGGACGGCAATTTCACAGCACCGGCAGATACTAGTGTTGACTTTGTCGACGCCTGGAACGATATTCTGATAACCAACGATCTCATCAACGTTAACACTGGGAAGTTCGATCCGAGACACATGATGGGAACTGCTAACCAAGATACATTCCGCTGGCCATCCATTCGACAGGGAACAGCAAAGATGTTGCTAGGGCAGTTTATTACATCACTCCATATACCTGGGATTCCAATCCTGCTTTGGGGAGAAGAGCAAGCATTCTACGTCCTCGACAGTACGAGTCCGCTTGGCATATTCGGTCGCCAGCCGATGACCTCGTCGCCGTCCTGGCAAATACAGGGATGCTACGGACTTGGGTCGAGTCAGTACAATGAATTCCCAATTGAGGCTGCTTTGATAGGATGCCACGACGACAAAGTAGGAATGGACCACCGAGATCCCACACATCCAGTGCGCAACATTATCAAGTCATTCTACTATCTCCGTGAAAATCTTCCTTCGCTTAAGGACGGCTATTATCTTCAGAGTCTCTCCAAGCATACCCGCAATGTCACGCTTCCCGGATCTGGCGGCACCGCAACCGAGCTCGGAATTTGGAGTGTTCTTCGTGATCAGTATCCCGGAGTGAGCGATCTTGACCCGACCAACGAGACTGCAGTTTGGCTCGTCTATCATAACGAAAACACATCGGTGTCATACGATTTCGATTGCAATTCGCCTCTCGACAGCTTCCTTGCTCCCTTCGAGGGTGGAACCAAAGTCAGGAATTTGCTGGCGCCTTATGATGAGGTTACTCTGCAATCAAGTCAAGTCAGACTCCGGATTCACGGATCCCAGGTCTTCAACGGTTGCGTGGATCGAGTTACTCTGAAGCCCTTCGAGTTCCGAGCTTATGTCCCTATAGCGCAATGGATTCCTCCTCCCGTGGTGATGACTGCGTTTGCACCAGGGCACGATGCTCGAATAAAATCAAACACTACTGCTTTCGACGAGCAGAGTGTTGACATAGAATTACGGTTCTCGGAAGAACTCGACTGTGACATGATTACGGAGAGTTTTACAATATCATCAACTACCGAAAGTCAAACGGTGCCAAACATCAACACAAAAAGCGTCTCCTGTGAGACCGTGAGACCAGGAAGCCTGGAGCACGTTGGTCAAGTTCCAAGCGCATGGTCCTGGAAAGGAACTTTGGACAACGTAACCCATGGGATACATGTGCTCACCGTCAAAAATGCCTCCACAGCAACAAAGTCCCGGTTTACAAACTCGGTTGATCGGTTGATGTTCCGCATCGGACGCAAAGACAACCCCATGATATTCCCCATGTCGGCAAACTACACCAATACTGGACTCACCAAATTCACTGATGGGAATGGATTCTTGGTGCAACACAATGCCGCTGGTGCAGATAAATGGCGGTATTCAACGAACTGGGAGAGCTCGTGGAGTCCGTGGAAACCCTACGATGGAGGCTCAAGCCAAATCAGTAGCCTTCCATGGTCCGGTACGAAACAACAGCGATGGGATGCCGATCATGTCATTCTTCAGTATTGGAGTAAAGCGGCTGGCAGTAGCCAGCATATTCAACGATTGGATTCACGAGAGAAGGACAAGGCACCAAGACGATTCCCTCACCTATTTGCCTTTGGGGATTTCAATCGCTTTGGTAAAGATATCGGCCTCAAAAATTCATTCTCTCATAATCGCAAAGTGGGCATCTGGAAATTCCACCTGTCAGCTGAATGGCCATCGCGATTCCAAGTTAATGTTTGGGGACTGAACCCTGACAAGGAGCTTGATCGCACCCTCGTTTTCGGGGACACCCTGAATAGCAGTCGACTAAATCGGCTACAGCCTGACTCGCTTTCTGTCGCTGATAATGTTGTCAACTTCACTCAGTTTCCGCCCGCGCCATACATGGCTTACCGAATGGAGCTGAACGACGGAAATATGCGATTTGAACTAATTCCCTCTGGGTTGCGCCTAAACCAACAGATAATCTATGTATTGTTGTGGGTTCTTCCAGTGCTCAGTGCTGGACTGAGCGTACTGATCTACATGGGGGCATTTTACAACATCAGTTTCAACCGCACAGGTGTCAGCCTGCCATTTCACATTCTACCTGCATTTCTCCGCCCCCGTCGAGGATTTGAGCAATTGAGCGGCGAAGAAAACAAAGGAGCCTTGATGACAGAAATGACTGTGGCATCTACCACGGGAATGTTCCCCTTGGCCGCTTCACTGTCCTCAAAGAAAAAGAGGACAGTTTTGCTGGCAACTTTGGAATATGACATTGAGGATTGGGAGATCAAAATCAAAATTGGCGGACTCGGCGTTATGGCCCAACTCATGGGGAAGAATCTTCCACATCACGATATCATTTGGGTTGTACCCTGCGTCGGGGGAGTCGATTATCCAATGGACACATTGGCCGAGCCTATGTCCATAACCATCGCCAACAGTGTCTACGAAGTCCAGGTCCAGTATCACAAGTTGCGAAACATCACATATGTTCTGCTCGACGCCCCTATCTTCCGCCAGCAAACGAAATCAGAGCCATACCCCCCTCGGATGGACGATCTTCATAGCGCCATTTACTATAGTGCATGGAACAGCTGCATAGCCGAGACGGTTAAGCGCTTCTCTCACTGTATCGACATCTACCACATCAACGACTACCACGGTGCAGTGGCGCCGCTCTACCTACTTCCAAGCACCATACCGTGCTGTTTGTCACTGCACAACGCTGAGTTCCAAGGTCTATGGCCGTTACGCGATCAAAAGGAGCTTGAAGAAATAAGCCAGGTTTTTAACCTTGACATTGCCATAATCCGCAAATACGTTCAATTTGGCGAGGTCTTCAACCTGCTTCATGCCGGAGCGAGCTACCTTCGCGTGCACCAACGTGGATTTGGCGCTGTGGGGGTTTCAAATAAATACGGCGATCGATCATATGCACGATATCCTATCTTTTGGGGCCTGAAAGAGATTGGCAAGCTTCCTAACCCAGATCCGTCCGATACAGAGCCATGGGATCCCGAGACGGAGGCCCATCAAGTCATTAAGGTTGACCAGGCATATGAACAGTCCAGAGGTGATCATCGTTCCCAAGCGCAGAAATGGGCTGGGCTGAAAGTCGACCCAACCGCCGAACTATTTGTATTTGTCGGCCGTTGGTCGGTTCAGAAAGGCGTTGATTTGATCGCCGATGTGTTCCCGGCAATCTTGGAGAGGCATTCAAACGTACAGCTCATTTGTATCGGTCCTGTCATTGACATGTATGGCAAATTCGCCGCGCTCAAGCTGGAAGAAATGATGAATCTCTACCCGGGACGGGTGTTCTCGAAGCCCGAGTTCACTGCGTTGCCTCCCTTCATCTTCACAGGAGCTGAATTTGCTCTTATACCATCGCGTGACGAGCCATTTGGCCTTGTGGCGGTGGAATTCGGCCGAAAGGGGGCTCTGGGTGTTGGAGCGTTGGTCGGTGGACTTGGTCAAATGCCCGGCTGGTGGTTCCCTGTCGAATCCATGACGGTGAAGCATCTCCAGAAACAATTCAAAGTGGCAATTGAAAGCGCTATCGGATCAAAGCAGAGGGACCGCGCTATGATGCGAGCGAGCTCGGCTAAACAACGCTTTCCCGTGGCTCGATGGGTCGAGGATCTCGATCATCTTCAAGCGCAGTCAATTCGTATGCATGAGCAGGAAAATGACCCAGCACGGAAGAAACGGTCGAGTGGTCGTTACTCGCGCAACTTCAGTCAGATCTCCTTCTTTTCGACGCAAACTGCAAGTCCGAATCTTGATGAAATGAATCCAATCCCCAGGTCTTCCCCACAACTTCCCGATGAAGGTCTTCATCGATCGCTCTCGTTGGGTGTTCGGTCTGGTCCAGGTCATCAAATTAGACGAACTGTCTTACATGAGGGTACTGCATTGACTCCCAGACTGGAAGAAATTGCGGATCCCGATGAACAGGGCATTTCACCAGAAGCGGCCGAGGCAATTGTGAAGCAAGGGCAGCACAGCCCTTCATCGTCTGTTACTGACACGGAAGAAAGGCAACGAGGCCGAACTCTGTCGGTGACAACTCTACCACAGCCTTCAGTGGCAGCAGGTCTTGGGATTAATGATGCTCATTCGACATCGACAAGGAGCAGGCTGAGGTCCTCTTCAATCCTAAGCGTGGACCAAATCAAAGGAACTCGTCAAAGTTTCTCATTGGAGACTGCAGACCCCACGTTTAAAGATGAATCTGGGAAATATTCACGCTGTTTCCAGGGGATGTTGCAACGGTTGACTGGCAAAAACTCCGAAAGTGATCTTTGTATTGAGGATTTTATCGTGAATAGCGAAAAAGAATGGTCAGATAGCCTGCGTGAAGCCAAGCTAGGCCGTGTATCCAGCCGCAGTCCTTCGCCCTACCGAAGATCCCCATCTCTCAACAATCAAGATGATGAAGCCGAAGACGATGCATCGAACTGGGAGGACTTGTCAACGCAAGAACTTTTGCGGCCCGAGTCTTTCAAGCGACCACCCAGAATCCAACGCTGGCTGTTGACTCGCGTATTCGATTGGCCAATCTACTCAATCATTCTCGCTTTGGGTCAGATCATGGCTGCCAACTCCTCCCAGATGACACTGCTCACCTCACCATCAGAGCAAAGCCCCATCCCCCTCTACGTTTTGGGAAGTGTGTATATTGTTACAACCTGTGGATGGTGGCTCGCATTCCGGCGCATCCCATCCGTTCATCTACTGTCTCTACCTTTTGTGTTTTATAGTATTGCATTCTTGACTATAGGTATTGCAGCATTTGTTCCTAAGGGCAACGGTCAGGATTGGACGTATCATATTGCTACTGCCTTCTACATTATCGGCTCCTCCAGCGGATATCTGTTCTTTTCACTCAATTTTGGAGATGACGGTATGTATCTGACAGAAACTCCTGTCTTTTCTTTTCTAACTTTCCTGCAGGTGGCTCAAAGATTGAATCCTGGGTGTATCGCGCATGCATTATCCAGGGCACACAGAATCTCTACATTGCTGCACTCTTCTTTTGGGGCGCTGATATTGCCTCGGGGAATGGCAGAGAAATCCTTGAGTCTGCGGGCACTGTCGCAGCAATCACCATGCCGATAGCCGCTCTTTTATTCGGCATAGCAGTGGTTCTATTCACCGGTCTACCCAGCTACTACCACCAAACCCCAGGCAAAATCCCAGCATTTTACAAGAGCATCCTCCGACGCAAGATCATTATTTGGTTCTCAGTATCAGTGGTGCTGCAGAACTATTTCCTCAGCATGCCCTACCAACGAAACTGGAATTATCTCTGGGGATCTAAGTATGTGCCACGTTGGGCAATATTTCTGCTTGCCGTTGCTTTCTTTATCGGAGTCTGGTACGTACTTCTAGCAATATTGGCTTGGCGCTCTAAAAGCCATTCTTGGATTATGGCTATCTTCGCTATTGGACTCGGTGCTCCACGGTGGGCCCAGATGCTTTGGAGCACGTCTGGTATCGGCTGGTGGGTGCCGTGGATGCTGGGCGGACCACACGGCTACGCCCTGGGCGCCCGAGCAGTCTGGCTATGGCTGGGGGTCTTGGATTCCATTCAGGGGGTTGGATTCGGTATGATCCTTCTGCAGACACTTACAAGGATACATATTGCGGCGTCGCTGTGCGCTGCGCAGTTGATAGGCACAGTGACGACTTTGGTTGCTCGCGCTACAGCTCCAGATCGTGACGGACCTGGAGATGTGTTTCCCGACTTTTCGGCGGGCGTTATTGAGGGTATCTCGAAGCCATGGTTTTGGATTGCATTGAGTTGTCAGCTGGCAATTCCTGTTGGATTCTTTATGTTCTTCCGCAATGAGCAGTTGAACAAACCTTGATTTGACAAGGAGCAAGAAGGGATTTCTGGTTTCATTTTGGCTTGCTCTTGTGTTTCTTACGTATAGAGCTGTAGTTTTTTTGTAGTTAAACACTGATTTTTGGACGGAGTTTTCACTGCTATATCAATCGTAGTCATAAATAAGGTCTGTGTTTCCAGCCACGGATCGAGTATTTCTCTATTTCTCTATCCCTCAAGTATAATAAATATATATTTCTCAATTTCGACATCATAATTTCCCGATCCGCCATAATCTATGGATATTTAATTGGTGAGCTTAGTATAAAGCTTTAATTAGTCACTTAAAATAAATTACCAAGAAATTATAACTAGAACAAGTCAATTATAGGTGTTAAGGATTTTGGCTAATTATAAATTGTTTTGACCGGAAAGCAAGTACATACGACCACAGGGTGTGGAGAACAGGGCTTCCCGTCCGCTCAGCCGTACTTAAGCCACACGCCGGTAAGTTAGTAGTTAGGTGGGTGACCACTAGCGAATCCTTACTGTTGTATGTTTTTATTTTTTATTTACTCTACGCGAGTTCTCGAGGCGCATTGAAAATTAAAATGGCGAGAAAAATTGTCTTAGGGTAAGTGTGGGTGATATACTGAGAATTCTTGAGACTGAGGTGACAGAGGTGAGAACTGGGTGAGAAGGGACGACAAGTTGATAGATGCCCTTCCGTATATCTACCTAAGCTTGCCGGTGATAGTGTGTTGGTAAGAGGAGATAATAGCAATCTCACGAAAGACCTCGAGCCGAAGCGACCGCAAGTCGGTGTTTGATGTATAGATTAGCCCAAGGTTGTCCTCTTAGGGAGCGATGGGGAGCAGTAAATAGCAAAACCAGGAATATTCTATTGAAACCATGCGCATGCAGACTTAGGCAATCGCTTCGAAGTTTGGGTGACAAAAATGACTTACCCCGATCTTGGGAGGACGCTGAGCAGATATAACGTATTGTTGTGTTCGGAATCGGAAGGGCGGCGACGTGATTGAACCTACAGCCACATGTGACAAGGCATACAGAAGCGGAGCATAGGCCTACGGCATAGCCCTTATGCTATCTACCTAGACCCCCTAAGACAGCTTATACTCGTAGGCATAGGTCAAGGAACATATTCTCGCTCGTACAGCTAGGTTTTGTCTTCGGATATATTCGCCACGACTATGACACCCTTGATTCAATATGTAAGGGATGACTTGCTTATATTCGATCTCTCGAACTGCTAGTACTAGAGCTTGAAAATCCCCGTCAAGGGACTACTACCAATTGCTCCGAATCGCTTCCAAGGTATTCCAGTATAAAACCCGACTCCCGCGTTTGGTTGGATTGGATTTTGATCTCATAATCCATTCGCGAGTTTTGGCGCAGTCTAGTGATGGCAGGGGTCCTGACAAAATATAACCTACTTAGAGATAATAATGGACGCGGTAGATATTGTTTTTACCCTATTAGCATTCCACTCCGCTAGACTAGGCTAATATTTCATAGATTTAGGGAGCATAAGGAGCCTAAGGAACCAAGGGATACACGACAAACTCATAATATAGGAAAGACATCCTCAATAGTCATTCCAAGCCCTCTCAATTCATCAGTGTAGCATAAGCCGTAACCTCAATCTTCGCCTCTCCATAAAGCTCCGCCACCCAAACCCCAGTCCAAGCATGCCGATTCTCGCCAAAGTACCTCTCCACCACAAACTGCATCGCTTCATCCACTTCGCCGCCACTCAAACCTCCAACGTGATACGAAGTCATCTAGTAAACAGCACGGAACCCGCCCTGCACACCCGCGGCTGCGAGGGATGCCTCTACATTCGCAAAAGCAAGGTCGAACTGTTCGACCAGCGAGGATGGGTAACTGAGGTCTTCGAGCATGCCGGTCTGTCCAGACGTCACAACCAGACGGGCGTTTGGGGGAGAACAGTTGCGGAGGAGATGTGCAAGAGGGGGTGAGAGCTTTACGCCCACCCCGGCAGAGTTGAAGCACTTGATGCCGTGTGTGTTCAGGGGAGAGTTGTATTCTTCTGACATTCTTCTGGTTGTGGTAATAGATATAGATGAAAGGAAAGGGTTATTAAAAGAAATTGATATGTGGTATATGGACGGAATTGGGATTTTGGCTTGCGGTTGGCTTCCACGTTATATCGAGGAAGGGCTATATACAAGTCGAATCTCTCGATTGTGGATGTATAGTTTCGGAGGAGATAAGAGGTGGGCAAGCCACAGCGAGCTACCCCGGACATTACTTTGGTGACAGGAATTTTGATCCTGTCTAATCAGCAGGAATTTCAATAAATCAATTGATGATCAATTTTGATAGGACCGTTCTGTATCTCGACGGGTAGAGGCTTATGCAAATCTTTGCAAGACGAACAGTTGCATCGTCATTTCCAGGTGATCTTAGTTTTCTGTATATGGGTTTAAATTTCTTTCCCCTAAATTTGCTTGCCCGGCAAAGTTGGTACTCCAACCTTGTCCCAGAAGCAGCGCGTACTGATTTCAAAATTTCTTCAAAGACGACATTTTTTATAAAGAAATTGGATTTTTGCTTTTCAACGTAGTTACATGACGAATTGATCAATTTAATATCCCTATCCAAATTGTCATTCATTCCTAAACAATAGTCTCCTGGTTCTTTTCCGCTTCCCATACCACTTCCTCCACTGATTGAAACTTCAGATCATTGAAGTATTCCCTCGCCTGACGTTCTACCTTTTTCTAGGGTAGGATAGCTCCACCAGCCAGAAAGAACTCGGCATATTGTGCCGCAATGACATCGTCATCACCTGGGCTCCCTTGCTTAATCGAATTCCGCAGACTATCAAGGGTTAAATACGGACCTCCAGGCTCTTTCCATACTTGGCCAGCAACTGCGCAACGCTCTCCCAGGTGGGCGTTTCACCACATACAAAAGTAGTGAGCTCCCAATTATCCTGATCAATTAGGCGCGCAGGAGTAAAAGAAATCAACTCCTCGCCCGTCTCCGGGATGGTTATCGTGCCCGTTTTAAAATTGACTGGGCAGGCTGTCCGACTATTTCGTACCGGCTGGCTCAGGATATATCCATGATATCGGTGAATCCACCCATATTGAAAAGCGTCCACATGACATCTCTTTGGGCACGCAACGCGCGCAGGCTCGTGATTGACGTAGTAGAACTGTGGCGAGTCGGGGTATAGATCGATATTTCCGCCGTATTCAGAAGGTAGGAATCGCTTGCATTTCGAACTTTCCTAGCAGGCTTCCAACAGGGCGAGATGCATGGTGGCACTGCCGAGCGAGTAGTCGAGCAGCGCGGAGACCAGGGCATCGCAGTCTTCCAGGCTACGGCCAATGATGGGACGGAGTAGTCAGTTCGACTGAAAGAGATGTCATGGCGTTCGAACCAGGGTTTTGAGCTTCGGCTCAGCACGACGACTTCATGGGAAGCGGCGAGGAGCTCCTCCCACAAGGTATTTGGCTAGGTCGCCAGCACCGGCAATTGCGATGCGCATGGTGGTTATAGATTGTAGAGTATGGTAGAAAGGTCTTTCGCAGGGCAATCTCAAAATTGTGGTGCTTATTTAGAGATTCGCTGGGGATACGCTGACTTAAAGTGCATTCTTCGGACTGGTTAGCCTCGGGCAAAGATAAGAAGATCGACTTCAAATCCGCGCTCTGTGTATTATTAAGGATAAGGAAACCCCATGATCCGTGGAGATTAGGAAATTCTCCATTAGTAAAAATTCCACCAAGTAACTTTGGTTGGAATTCCTTAGGGCTCGTTCGTTGTCCCTGAAAAAAGGTAGGGATGTGTCACGTGACGTGAATTTTGACGCTTGCACTGGCGATCAAAAAGGACGTAACTCACGGCAAAGGTAGCATGTTCACACTCAACAAGTCCAAAGCCTGAAACATCACGCAAATGGACCAACCAACATGAGCAGCACCGTGACGCGCATCATCGAGGTGTTCAACGCTCCAGAACCCACGACCAAAACGGCCTGGGAGGTCACAGAAGCCGAAATGGAAATCGCCCTTCCGAACGACTACAAAGAATTGATCGACCGGATGGGCGGTGGCTACATTGAAAAATACATGTAAATTCTTGAGCCGAACTGCCTTAATGAGCACTACGACCTGCTGTACATTACCGACGAACGGACTGAAGCAAACGCAACGATGTGGGAGTTCGAGGCGAAGCCTCCGGAGCTGCAGATCGAAGGGAGCTTTGTCATCCCCTGGGCGACGACGGATAACGGCGAGTATCTGTTCTGGCGGTGCCTCCCGGGGCAGCATCCCGACGAGTGGACAGTCATTCTGAACCAGGGTCGGGACTGGACTTGGGAGCACCATGAAATGAACTGCACCGATTTCCTCTACGCAGCCCTTACAAAGGAGATTCAATCAGAGATTCTCAGCGATGACTTCCCTCTCTCCCGTCACGTCTTCGCAAGTTTCAACCCGGCGCCAAGCCATTCTATCAGACTTACGGGGATTAGGAGGCCGAAAAGAAGATTGAAAAAATGATTTGTATTATCTTCTTAATAGACTGTGCGTTACTACCCAGCTGTTAAGCACCGTTTATTTAACAGATTCTAGGAAAGCACTCATCATTTTATTGTTTACATTTGCTTCGCGACCGCCGCGTGGATTAAATGACTTAGTGTGATTGTCAAACTAGATTCTATTCCTAAGTGCGATCTCGTCTCGGGCAGCGTCAATTTTGTATAGCTCTACAATAAGATCACGGACGTGATATTTCACGGCGATCCGCTCGTAGTTCTCGAGGCCTTGCTCACTGCTAATTAGTCCGAGACCGAATCGCCTAGCATCCTTCTTAAGCGTAACTAAGGGGGTAAACAACCGTACCCGAGCTTTCTCGGCTCGTGTGAGATAGTATTTTCCAGCGGAAGGAGGTATACTTCCTATGGTCGAGCGAGACGGTGTTTCGACTCTCAATTGTCGGGGAAGTAAGCGATAGAAGCGCAGGAGTTCTACAAATGTCGTTTTTCTATTACGCTCCCTTTGCTGCTTCTCTCGCTCTTCAGCATATTTGAGAGATCGTCTGCCTCCACAGAGCATTGGTGGTCTTCAAGTTGCGATAATTCTTATTCAATTGAATAACCTCAGTTGAATAAATTATAGCTTCGTTATGGTTTGCTGTGATTGAATTTGCAGGAGTAAATCAGTTTTTATTTTTATTTTTATTTTTTCCTTTTTTTTATTTTATTTTTTGTAGTGAGGCAATTCGCGCTAAGTACATATTAAAAGCAGCACTAAAAATATTGGGGGCAAACAAGTTAGGCAAGCGTTGTACAGAGATAGGTACAGTTGTACTATTATTTTCATAAGAGCCTCATTCAGGCAGAAAATGAGCGGACTCCTGATTCGTGGGGATCTCGTATTCGCGTTGATCGCATTCTTTGATCGTCCCCGCTACCCATCTGTAAAGACTTCCTTCAAGGCTCAATGCAGAGGCTCCATGGGTTTATTCCTCAATCGGAAGAAGCTGTTCATCAATCCTCGTATTCCGAAAAGTAGAGGTGTCTGAGCATTCCTACTTCATACTTGAAATACACCAAAGTCTCTGCCATGTGGAGAGGAGTCTTCATTCTGAATAACAGTCACAATCGACAGCCATAGGCTCCCTGTGTCTTTCCAGCCCAATTCGCACCTTCGTAACCTCCAATCATGAAGCCCGCGATCACGCGTTACCTGAATGGGGAGCTGCGCGCCTACCAGGTACCCAGCGCCGTGGACGAGCCACTAGGACCGGTAGCGACCTACCGGATCGAGCCCGAGGACGAAGAAGTCCTGAGCCATGCGGCCGCCCCAGACCTCAACCGGGCAGTCTTCACGACCTGCAACAAGGCGATATGCATTGGCCAGGATGGTGGCATGCTATGGCGCTACGAGTTCGAGCCTCATACTACCCAGGACTTCCCTAGGACTGCGTGTATATTTTCCCTCGACGGGAACTGGGTGTGGTTATATCGACCCGACGCGATGACGAGTCGTGGCCCCGACCTGTTGGTAGTTTTGCGTGCCGACACGGGTGAGGTGGTCGCCCGGGAGGAGCTAGACAGCGTCGGGCAGGGAGCCGAGCTCGTGCAACATCCCGACGGTCGTCATGTCATGCTAGATGTGGGCGAGGGCCAGGACGGGGTGAAACTCTTCCTCGTGGCGCTCACCGATGGCGGCATAGACCTACACTCCTACGGGTGGGACGACCAGTTCCTGGTTGACATCGCGCCCGGCGGGTGGCTTTTTATGACCATCGACGACTGCCGGTCCTACGTCGCCTTTCGCGCCTTTCCTAGTGGAGAGATGGTGCTACACTTGCCCATCACGGCTTTCGGTTATGAGGATGATGATTCACTTATGGATTGGAACGGCGGCTTTCTCAGCCCATATGTTGCAATTGTCACGATTACGGGCGAGCTGGACAACAAATTGTGGCATCACCATTATAAGGTCGACATACGCACTGGTAAATCGCTCGACCGCTTCGAGGCGCACTCTCGCGATAGCTACGACCTCAAAACCCTCGGTGATGGTACTTGGGTCGTCTCCGATCTAGACGGTAACCCAATACGTCACCGGTAGCCTGGTCATGAAGAGCTTCGCTGTGAGATAGCTGAGAGTGTCAATGTAATATTGTGGTTTTTTGAATGCATTTGTTTGGGTCATGCGACTAGATTGCTGTTGTGAGATTGTCTGAGGTAGAAATCATGGTCCTATTGTAAGTCGTAAGCAGATGGACCTGTAGTGGGGAGATTGGTCTCAGTGTCTTTGGGAAAGAATAGAAAGTGGTGAAACTGATTTCGAGCTCGTTTGCACTGAGAAACAGACATTTCTGAATCCAGAAATACGCGCGGCTATTCCCATCTCTTTATACAACAACTATATTTATCTTTGAAGTTGAAATTTGCTGCTGCCGGCAGTCCTATCCGAGTCTTGATAGCCAAGATTCTCATATACGCCATCAATACTTTAGTAAATCAAAGATTTAGTAAGATGAAAATCCAAAAGCTACCTGACATTTTCATATTACTCGTCTATCGCAAGATTCATCAGGAATGCGCTTCAGATACTATCAGGGAACTGGTCACTGTGTTCATCCAGATCCACCTGCCCAGTTTCAAGTAACAGCTTCACCACCGCCTCATGCCCGCCCTATGTGGCTCGGTAGAATGGTGTGCGAAGCTCGAAGTTCGTTCGTCATGGTAATTCTCACCCCGTCTATAGCACACTCACCCTTGTCACCCCCGGCCGCGCGACCATAAAGCGGCTTTCACCCTAAACTCACCCGGGCGACACTCACCCGACTACTAGCCGCACATAAGCCCCACGCCGGTAAGTTAGTGGGTGACCACTAGCGAATCCTTACTGTTGTATGTTTTTCCTCCTTCTGGGTGCTTTCTTTTTTCCCCGGAAAAAAATAAATAAATAAAATCAGAAAGCTAAAAGGAAAAGAAGGGGCCGACATGGCACTTGGCCGGTAAAGAAAAGCATGCCATACAAGTGCGTTCTAGACGCATGAAAGGGGATTTTATTATACTGTAGAAGTACCAGCTTAGAGTCTAGCTTTATCTCTTCAATATCTGAAGAGAGGATGAAATCGCACATCATTCAAGGTTGTTTATTGTACATGTTTTGCTGATCTAGTCTAATCGGCGGCTTGTTTTTGCCCCCTCTGCACAAGTTTTATATTCATCTCTTTGTATACACCCCAGTGCTCACGGCATGATAACCCTTTTTGCCGACCTTCGCCGTTAAATCACTATTCCATTGCTCGCTGCGTAACAGCCTTTCCACAGTCTTTCCGAACGTATACTTTGGATTCCATCCTAGTTCTTCCACTGCCTTGCTTGAATCATAGACTCGATCAATCCTTGCAAGATGCTTCCACCCTTTCTCCTTGAAGACAACATCCACATCAGGAAAGATCTTAGTTACTACCTCAGCGGGGTTCCGGCTCAAAGCATCGAGCGTGTGTGCATCGTTTTTGAAAGGTGGCGGGGCGCTTATGATATACTTTCCCCACCGAATGTCCTTGGCTTTTCTCATTGCACAAACTGAGGCGCTGACAATATCCTCAATGTCGCACCTGCGGTAGGCCAGTTCCAAAACCTTCAGGTTTTCATCGCTCATCGCCGCGCGACGGTCTTCGTCATCGTCCTCCTCGGGGAAAAAGCGGCTTGTGCGAAGAACTAAAACGGGAATTCCACTCTGCTTTTGCATCAGAGCGCACATGTCCTCAGCTGCGATCTTCGTGACGCCATAGATGTTCTTTGGCACTGGAACAACAGACTCATCGATCCAAGCGGCGGGGTGTCCCGGCTTAGGACTTAGAGCCATACCAAAGGCGCTCGTTGTACTGAAGAAGACAAAGCTCTGTATCTGCTCTCTGAACCTGGAAGATTCTTCAAGGAGGATCAGAGTGCCGACAATATTGGTCGAGATAAATTGCTCCTTGCTGTGGCTGCCCACGTGCGGTTTATGCAATGTCGCCGCATGAAGAATGTGCTTAATGGAGTTGGAGTCGAAAATTGAAGCAATGAAGGCACGGTCACTAACAGATCCCACAAGTGTCGTAGTTGGGGAGGGGAGAATATCGATGCCCAGGGGTTTGAAGCCCAGAGATGGCAGGCTAAGCATCAGAGCGGTACCGAGATGACCAGCCGAGCCAGTGACAAGGACGTCATACGATGAAGACATTTCGAAATGTAGGACGTTCACAAGAGAGAGTTATTGTTTTGTCTGCTTCGCGGTAGCATTTAACAGCACAAGTCAATGAGTCAACAAGGGCGCCGAGGTTTTTAACTAGGGCGGAGCTAGCACGTGCAGGTATCCCCACTTACATAAAATTTACCTAAGGCAATCGAATCCAGAATATTTCTGAGGAACCAGGATTTTTACGAGTTCTTGTGGAATAGTGTGCACTTCAGCACCGAGCTTGGGAGAGAATTCGGCAGAGGTACATGTTTTCAAATGTGATAGTCGCCACTTGATCCCTCCCGCTTGGGCCCTCAGCGATGACTTCGCAATCCATATAGATCTCCGCGAGGGTAATGATGCTGGAGTAACCCAAATTGCATCACATAGTGTGATCAATCATTAGATTTGATCCACCACATAATTAAGGACGGTGTGTTAACTACAGGTCAGCCCACCTGTTCAAGACCTAATGCTGCGGAAATCGGGAAACACACCGCGCTCCTGTTATTGCTATCACCTATCAATCATTTATCGCTCAGCCTGTTAACGGCCTTGGGTCGTGAGTAGCCCCCTAGCCAATGTGTACCACACTATTGAATATGTACAGTGCAGGTTTCAATACCCGGCCCCTCGCCGAAGCGATATGCACGCTGCATTCACTGTATATATCCGAATACGGAGAATGAAATATACTACTTACTGAAAAAAGAAGTAGAGGCTCGCCAAGGCCTGCCCTATCCTAATTACCATCTGCGTTAGCCAACATGTGCATAAATATCCTGTCGGAGATATTCACAATTCTTCAGCCTTACCCGCTAGGCCCGCATTATCCCGTGCGCCGTCTGGGAATATCAGCCCACAATTGGCTCCAATACAGTCTGGTTAAAACTAGTTAAACCCTACAAGAGTATCCCTGATCTTGAACTTCTAGAAAAGACAGGCAGGCGGGGCTGACGCCGGCAATATATATTCTTTGCTATCATCGGACGCTGACTTCTCGATTGATTCAACTCATCGACCCAACTAATATACTAGACTGCATGACTAGCTGATTTTATGGACGAATCAACTTTGACGTATTAAGCTTGCTTTATTAGCCTTCATCCGACAGACCGAGGATGCGGGCGGGGCTTAAGCTTTCTCTTCCACGTGCTCAGTGTGGTGGCTCTGGCTAACCGACATTTGCTTTTCTCCAACAATCTGCGTGAAGGTGACAGTTGGTTTCCAGCCGACGGAGTTCCGCGCGCTGCTGACTTCAGAGTACAGCTCGTCCACTTGCTCTAGGGAAAGTCCCTTGGTCTCATAAATCATGAAGTAAACGAAAGCAATACAAAGGAAGCAACATCCAAACCAAATGAAGAAGATTTTGGACTGCAGGTTTGCATTCCCCGGGCCATAATTCACCAAGTACGGGGTAGAGTAAGCGATGGCCCAGTTGAGCAGCCAGTTAGTGGCGGTAGTCATGGATAGAGACCTAGCACGAATCTTCAAAGGGAAGATTTCACCGGTAACGACCCTATTCGAATATTAGCTACCATAATGGTAAAAGGACAAGGAGGACTTACCAAGCAATAGGTCCCCATGATGCAGCGAAGAAAAAGATGAAGGTACAGATGAAGGCGATTGCAGCGTTCTGCGCCGCTTTGTTGTTGACAATAATGTTACCAGCAGCATCCTGGCTGGTGGTTGTCGTTCCTAGGACAGCGACCAGAAGCTGGGAAATACACATGCCAACGGCACCCAGTAGCAGCACGGGCCGGCGGCCCCATTTATCAATAGCGTAGAGACCAGGGAGAGTCGAAACCACATTAACACAGTTGGTGATAAGGCTGATGACGAACTCGTTCTCGAATCCGGAGTTCTTGAAGAACTGCGTGCCGTAATAGAAAATAAAATTAATGCCGGTCAATTGCTGCAGAGCCTGAAGACCGCAGCCAGTGAGTAGCCGCTTTCCCAAATTGCCTTGGAAGCATTCAAGGTAGCTGGGCTGGCCTAGGCTCAACTCGTATTGATGGTTGGCTTGTATCTCAGCAATCTCTTCCGAGATAGCCTGATGATCTTCAGGTAGACGCCGAAGCTTCGCAAGATTCTTAGTGGCTCTGGCATGGTTGTCCCTTTTAATAAGGTACCGAGGAGTTTCGGGTAGGACAAGCATCCCAGCAATCAACACAATAGCCCATGCAAACTGGACAGCGATTGGGATGCGGTAAGAGCCGGTGTCATTCCGGCTGTGGGTTGAGTTGTTCACCACCGAGGCCAAGAGTAGACCAATGGTAATGGCTAGCTGGTAAGAACCGACGATGAAACCACGGATCCACTTCGGCGCGGTCTCGGACTGGTATAGAGGAACTATCATACTGGTTAGTGGGGAAAATCGTGATTAGATAAATCTGGGGTACATACTCAAGGCTGAAATCAAGCCCACACCAAATCCAGCAAAGAATCTACCAGCGAGGAATAGCGGAATTCCAGTAGCAGCTGTTTGTAAAACTACGCCCAATATGAATACCACGCTGGAAGCGATCAGGCCCCACCGACGGCCGATAGAGTCTCCCAAAGGAGCGGCACCGAGAGCACCAAAGAATGTTCCGGCCGACAGAATGGAGACAATGGCAGATGATTGGCTAGAGGTAATATTGAGGTGTCCGGTACTGTCTCTATAGCCAGTGGAGAAAAGGTCTTGCCAGTAGGGCATGGCAAGTATGCCACTGATGGTACCTGTATCATATCTTGAGAAAAGAGAAGTCAGCTAAGATCAAAAAATTTTCCGTAGTATTAGGAGCCTACCCGAACAAGACACCTCCAAAGGCCACGAAGCTAGAGATGGCAATGGCTGGCCATGATGCTCCGGGCACATCCTCAGGTTTCTTGAGCCGAATTCCCATGTTGCTAGTGGAGTAGAGTAAATTGAAGATCTGTGGGACTTGCAGGTAAATCAGAAGAGAAAATTTCCGGGGAAGGCCCGATGCTGCCTCTTATACTTTTCGTGATGAAAGAGCATTGGTTGTTCGGTTGCCCGTCTCGAAGCGCAATAGACTAGCATATTCTGTTCTTCTAGGCGTCTGAGTAGCAAAGAATGGTATTGGGTCCCCTTTGAGACACTGAAGCCAAACTTGACGTCCGAGCACTCGGTCAGTTGGATATCTGCGAAGTTTCGCCGGCGCACCCTCATGATCAGAACTCCAATCGGTTGCTTTGGAAGGTTCTCTGGATAGCAGGCAAGTCGGACCAGCCACTTCCGATGGCGCACTGTACGTGAAAGCTAGCACGGATTGAACACAAGTTTTAACCCTCACTGTTCGGATTATTCATCGTAAGTTTAGAAAGCGGCCGGGGCGGAATGCGGGGGCGAATCAGCCTCACCCATCAGTCCGGAGAAGTCCAGAGCCAGATCCACCGTGTTCTGGGGTAGTGTTAACCGAAATGGGTAGACGTTTCTCCCGTGTCTTCAATTGGTCAGACCACCCGAAGATGGCCCGTTGTTTCTCCATACTCGGCGAATTACAGAGTAAGCAGCCTGCAGAAACCCCGAGAGCGCCTAAATTAGCTCACTTAATCCCACAATTCTCGGGCCGCTGTTGGTCGGCATTTGGGGCGAAGGTTTAAGTTTCTCCGAAGAAATCCAGCGGTGGACTCCGCTGCAGGTGCTGTGACATTTGAAAGTTATGCTAGATCCACCACCCCTTAGGGACCTCCCGCCTATGAAGAACGGCCTCCATATGGGGAACGGACAGTAAACGTACTATGTACCGGCAGATTCTCAGTTGCACTTGAGCACCCAACATTTTGAAACCCCGAATTTCTCCAGATGTGGTCCCCGTGGGGATCAGTGCCTGAGCACTCGAAGCAAATGGCTCGCATATAAATAATCATTGCCGGGTCGTGCTGGATTCTCCTGGAAGTATTTTTCCACAGCGACAAAGCCTTATACCCTTACCATGGTTCATCTCACCAAGACCCTTGCGGTGGGTCTTTTGGCAGGCGTTGCGAGCATCGCAAACGCCTTCAACTATGATCAGCCGTACCGTGGCCAATACCATTTCTCACCCCAGGATCATTGGATGAATGACCCCAATGGTCTTTTGTATCACGATGGGATCTACCATTTGTTCTTCCAGTACAACCCCGGCGGTATCCAATGGGGGAACATGTCCTGGGGCCATGCCACCAGCAAAGATCTGACCCACTGGGAGCAAAAGCCCATCGCCCTCCTTGCCCGGGGATTTGGAGGCAATGTTACCGAGATGTACTTCAGCGGCAGTGCGGTCGTTGATTTGAATAACACCAGTGGCTTTGGCAAGGGCGGCAAGGCCCCTATGATCGCCATGTACACTTCCTACGTAAGCTCACCCAACCTGCAATAGATATTCGAAGAAATGACCGACTCACTCCCTTTTCACAGTATCCCGTTGCGCAGACTCTACCTAGTGGAAAGACCATTCAGGAGAATCAGCAAGCCCAGTCCATCGCTTACAGTCTTGACGATGGTATGACCTGGACCACGTACGATGCCTCCAATCCGGTCATTTACAACCCTCCAGCCCCATATGAAGACCAGTACAAGGACTTCCGTGACCCCTTCGTTTTCTGGCACGAGGAGTCCCAAAAGTGGGTTGTCATCACTTCTCTGGCCGCATTGCACAAGCTTGCCATTTACACTTCCGACAACCTTAAGGACTGGAAGTTGACGAGTGAGTTTGGTCCTTTCAACGCCCAAGGCGGCGTTTGGGAGTGCCCCGGTCTTTTCAAGTTGCCCCTTGATGGAGGGAAGTCCACGAAGTGGGTCATTACGCTCGGACTAAACCCCGGTGGTCCCCCGGGCACGGTGGGCTCCGGGACCCAGTACTTTGTGGGTGACTTTGACGGCACTACTTTCACTCCCGACGCCAATACTGTGTACCCCGGAAATGGGACCGCCAATTGGATGGATTGGGGCCCAGACTTCTATGCCTCGGCTGGCTACAATGGCCTCTCTGTTGATGACTATGTTCAAATCGGGTGGATGAACAACTGGCAGTATGGAACAAACATTCCCACCAGCCCCTGGCGAAGCGCCATGTCCATTCCTCGCCACCTGACTCTCAAGACCATCGGGGCCAAGCCGACTCTCGTTCAGCAGCCCAAGGAAGCCTGGTCTTCTATCGTGAGCAAGCAACCAGTCTACTCGCACACCTACAAATCTGTTCCGCAAGGCACCGTTAAGGTAGGCACAACCAAAGAGACCATCAAGATCGACTTGAGCTTCGCTGCTGCGTCGACCGCTTCGGAGTTTGCCATCGCTGTTCGGGCCTCCGCCGACTCCACCGAGCAGACTCTTATCGGTTACGACTTCGTCAACAAGCAGGTCTTTATTGATCGCACCAAGTCTGGAGATGTGTCTTTCGACAAGACCTTCGCCAGCATCTACCGCGGACCCCTCGAACCGGATGTCAAAGGCAAGGTGAACCTGAGCATCTTTGTCGATCGGTCCAGCGTGGAAGTCTTCGGCGGCCAGGGCGAGACTACCCTGACGGCTCAAATTTTCCCTAGCAGCGATGCGATTCACACCCAGCTGGTGTCGACTGGGGGGGCCACTAAGAGCGTCAATTTGAAAATCTATTCTGTCGCCTCGACTTGGACCTAATTGCGCTGACCATCTAAATATGGTGACTTGTGAAAAAGGAAGCATGATTTATGAACTTTCGAGGCTAAGGAGGATCCTGTACAGTGCAGAAGGATACTGTAATTAGAAAAGGCAATAGGCCTCTGGCTCATAGTACTTGGTTTGTATCCGCTTTACTATTATTGACTAGGGGCACTGCGTTAGAGATATATTCTCTCCTAATATAACAAGTCAAGCGCTCCTAACCTCAAATTTAGCCAATATCAGACCTTTTTTCTCTGTCTTCTGAGCTGCGCGCCCTTATTCCTCCTAGGCACTCCTCAAGTCCATTCACGTATATATTGCCATGCCACGTTCGGAGTAATATATCATTCATTTACCTTCTCGTTATATTTCTTCACCGGAGTGTCTTTGCCACTGAATCTATTCTTGGTACCCGATATGTATTTCAAGATATATAAGGTTGCTCCATTTAAAAGGCGGTAGATCATGCATTTTACTGAGGTAATTCCGCGATTGAATGCGTATTATTTTTGGATTGTTGGGGGCCTAGGTAAAGATCTTCAGCCGCTCCAGCTATTGCAAGACCCAAGTGTTTGTTGATCATGCTGACCGGGCACCCAGTCTCATAGTCATTAGAAGCTGGCGCAGATTCAGACCCCACTCTCTCAGCCCATATTTAGAACTTCGCTGGTCGCGATGTTGGTGATAGCCAAAATGTAGTTGTTGGCCAATTTGGCGGGGACGCCGCAACCTTGGGCTTCCATACGCCACACCTTAGTCCTCATGAGAAGAAAGACAGGTTCCATTCACTTTAAATGATCTCCTGACTCAACACCTGCACCAAACGTAAAGGCGAAGGACAACGATTAAGTACGCCTAGAAGCCGGTGAATCCAAAGATGGTAAGAAGAACGTCTATTTGCAAGCCAATTCTTAAGCCAAGAACGACTCTATAGTAACGCTTAGAAAGAAGAGTGGAGCCAGACTCCAACTTGGCGTCTGACCAAATGGATGAGAACAGACCAGTGGAGACAATAGAAAGAAGCCGACAGGAGAATTTGGCAGGGAATGGGCGCGCCATTCGAGTGTGTTTGGCCAGATCGTCTGTTCTCTCGTCCTCGAACAATTCTTCGTGGCCCGGGACCCATCGTACTCGTACATGGCAGCCCAGACATCGCAAGCACACTACTAGACCTGCGATTTCACTGAATATATGCTGGCCGGAGCTACGGCACGGTTGTGCGCATGCCTGGATTGGGCTGACAGTATGTAGTTTCCTGTGTGGTCTCCTGGTGCACATTCTCACTTCTCAAGTGCAAGGATCTCCTCTCATTCATTCCTCGTATGTTTTCGTAGGTTTGATCAACACTGAAGCCTCACTGTATGGTTCCTGATGGGAGCTTTGTCCAACCCTCCGGAGGTCTTGAGCCAAGACTTGGGTGGTTGTAGTGAGGACCCTTGAGGGCTCTGCTGGAAGCTCTGGTGAAGGCCCCTGTATGCTTAGACGAGCGCCTGTGCACATGTATGGATCTGCACTGCATCGCTCTGTTTCCGATTTCTCCGGCGTTTGGCTGTCTGGTTTGGGATGCTCTATTGAATGTCGCTCTGGTGGAAGACCCACCTTGACAGCCTTGATTAACTTCCTAAGGATAGCCCATTCAAGCTTCAGCTTGATGCTGTAGACCAGTGCCTTGAATGTTGTTTGCACAGAATATAGGCCGGCATATTGCGTGCCAACCAAAGAGCCATCAAGAAAAATGATAATCACGCTAATGAGTAGAAGTTCATATAATATATACCGATAACGGGTCTCATCAGTACTCCTTAAGAACTTCAACGTACCCCAAATATAGATCGCGGATAGCAATGTCTCTTGGATACAAAATCCGATTAATTGTACTCGTTCGAGAATATTGTATCCTTTGACGAAAGGGGCAGGATGGGTTGGCGCGTTAGTGCCGAATGCAACCACCGCTGTTGGTATATGGAATATAATGGCGTCAAAGATGATGAGATAGAGGATGCCACGTAGGACTCGTTGATTCCACACAATCAGATGGAGTCGTGACCACAGGACCATTGACTGGCCAGTCACCATGCAACACCAACCGATGGTCACCAGTGTGTGTGTTCCGAGATAATTATGGCGGACAATGTTGAAGAACTTTAGGAATAAGCCGAGGCCGTATGGGATAATACCGGCGGATGCGACAAGCAGGCTCCAGAAGTATGTGCCCTTCCACCGTTTGAATCTTGTGAAACAGAGCACCACGAGCTCTACCGCATTATACCAAGACAATCCGATGAAGGTAGCAAAGAGGACTTCGTCTAGACAACGGCGGTTGGTATAGATACCTCCAGTGAAACCATTGTTGCTGCCAGACATGGAAGGCGACCACAGTATCCTGACTGTTATGGAGCGGAGGCACCAGCTTGGTCTATGCCCTGGGATGTAGAGGCCCGACAGGTTATAACACTTACACAGGACTTTGAAGGGTGTTTGCAAATAATGTCTACTGAATGTAATCGTCATGCCTCAGTCTTCGATGCTTGGCGGTGAATCTAAGTTCGCCAGAAACGTGGTCCGCATGGGGTGCCAGAACCAGATCTTTGAGTGGGCGGTTTCCACTCGGATAACCTGAAATGTGTGTAGCATGAAATACAGTGATTTGTTCAAGGCAATATATTCTATAGGTATATATATATATATATTTGTAAATCCATTAACTATAACTGGCACGATTGGGATATTGTAGAAGACTTACAGCGGCCATGACTTCAATGCCCTGATGATTAAAGTTGGTGCTTAGCGCCACGTTGATCGTCACCCTAAACGTGGACTGCACATCTTTGTCCATGGCTCAAAACGAACCCTAAGCTACCGAGAAGGATTCAGGATCACCTTCATTGCTTCCGCGGAAAATTGAGACAGAATTTGTGCAAAGCCATGGAGACGACGTGGCTGGTCTATCAAACCAGGCCTTTCGGATAACATCCGTTACCGATCGGTTGGTTGACTTTGCTGCATATCCTCTCAAGTGGTCGACTGGCCTTCGCCACCGTGGTTGCCAATATGGGAGGGCCCGGCTAATGTAACTCTATTTTCTATACTGCGTACTGTAGGAGGATGTCTCAGAGAATGGTCTAGACCACACTACTTGTGCCACACTCCTTGTCCAGCGTTCGAGAGGTCTACAAAGCCCGGCAGTTTGGTCGGGAATGCGCTGGACCCTTTGTCTCTACCACCATCTTTTATCTCTACAACCACCTTTCATCTCTACCACCACCTTCCATCTCTCGTTGCCCAAATGCACCCTGTAACCAACGCCTGGACGCGTTGGTATTCATGGCCAATTCCACCGCATCGGACAGTGACCATGGCCTCACAGAGGGTATCTATACCAGCAGTGAATGCCTTGACTCGACCCTTGTCTCTGTTTTCACCACCATTGCCTACTACAACACCATTGAACTCCTGATTCTCTGCTTCACTAGATTCAAAAAGAAGAGGGATGTCTACTTTTGGACATTGTTGGTTGCGACCCTTGGGATCATTCCCTATAATCTCGGCTTCATGTTCAAACTTTTCAACGTCATACACAACAACAATATCTCGATAACTTTTTCGAGCATCGGATGGTATTGCATGGTGACCGGCCAGTCTATGGTGTTATGGTCCCGGCTCCACCTCCTAGTGCAGAATCGAAAGCTGCTGCGTGGTATTCTATACGTGATCATCATTGACGCTTTTGTGCTCCATATCCCTACCACAGTGCTTGCCTTTGGTACCAATGCACCGAGCCATCCCAAGGAGTTCGTGAGGGGGTATGAGATTATGGAACGGATACAACTGATCGGATTCTGTATCCAAGAGATTCTGCTATCAGTCTTATACATCTGGGAAACAGTCAAATTTCTCAAGCTCCATGTGAGAAATCGGTATTGGGGTATACTACATCAGCTACTTGTTATCAACGTCCTCATCATCTTGATGGATGCCTCGTTTGTCGCTGTTCAATACGCGGGCTTTTACGTGTTTCAAGTCACTTTCAAAGCCCTGGTATACAGTATCAAACTGAAGCTGGAGTATGCCATTCTGGGAAAGCTCGTCAAGGCTGTCAATGCAAAACGCAAAACCACCGAGTCTTACGCCGAAACGGACCGCACCGACCGATCCTTCATCCCATAACCACCCTGAAGTTCGGGCCTGTCAATTATTTAGTCTGGGTATCCTTACTATTGCCGTTTGGAGCACCACCAATACCAAGGCTGCAATGGAAAAGGTCTCTAGGACCAAGATGGAAGTTAATCTAGGCCGGAACGAATGGACCAGCAAGAGGGACGGGTTGGTTGGGGTGGGAAGTTAAATAACGTGTCGAAAGAAGGGCGAAAGGAAATAGGATGGTGGACAAATAGTGCAATGAGCGATGAAGGGTTTTACGCTGCAATATCGAACGCCGAAGTCCTACCATAGAATTGGGCCAACCGCGAATGTGACATTTTACCGCAGCCTTTGTGATACAGGGGCCTGGACTCGACTTAAAACTGAAGTGCCGGGCTGATTGATTACACTTGGGGAAGTAGACAGACGGAGCAATATTGAGATCTTGACCGAGAATATGCTTGCGCGGCGAATTATGGGTGTGCTAGTAAAGGGAGAAGAGATACCTCAAGCTGTAAAGATCTCACTTTTCATCGAAATGGCTATCGTAGTATTTGCATCTATTACGGCACCCCCACAAACTGGATTGCTAATTTAACTGAAGTACGTTCGCGTAAATAATACTTTTAATTATATCTAACAGCGTATGAGATTTCTCCGATCGACAGGGGCCATGTGACGTTTCGGGCCCCGTCCCCCTTGGTCCCCAATTCAATTCCACATCCACATGGTTGCAGAAAACCAGACTTGTAGCACTTGTTGATAGTTGTGTGAAAATGATATGTAATTTCCCCAAGTATCTTCAAATTCACCAGATTCATCTTTGGCAATTGGTAAAAGTTAAACCCCAAACTCACTTCTTTCCCACACACCACTCGAAATTCCACGATGGGCAAATCCCAATCAGCTCCAAAGTGAGTCCATTCCTTCACCCTCACAAGTCAGCAATTCACCATACTTAAGGTTTCAGTATGTGTTTAACCATTATGTACATAATACGGAAAACTTTTATTGATGATATGGAAAGCACGGAATAATAGGTGAAATCCAGGCAAACTTGAAAAAAGGTTTCTTGTAAAGACGTTAGACTGGTTATTACTCTTTTCAATGCTAAGCCTAGTACATACGACCATAGGGTGTGGAGAACAGGGCTTCCCGTCCGCTCAGCCGTACTTAAGCCACACGCCGGTAAGTTAGTAGTTAGGTGGGTGACCACTAGCGAATCCTTACTGTTGTATGTCCGTATTCACCTATTTTTTTTGATTCGTTCGGGAAGTCCCTCGTGCCGCCCTACCCTTTAGCCCCTTCACCCTATTCACCTAAATGCCCTAAACACCACTATTCTACACCTAAATATCCTGCACGCCCCTAAACCGCTGACGTGTCCTTCCCCTCCTATGCTGACTTTTTCTTAGGCGTGTTGTTTTGATCATAACTCTCTGGTACTAGTTTCTAACGGTTGATATATGTCTACCTAGGATTTAAACGATAGTAGGAAGAAAAAGAAGAAGGCCGCCTAGAAGAATCAAACTTATTATTGAATATAAATTCGCTAGAGGCCACCTATCCCACTACTAACTCACCGGCGAGTGGCTTATACTTAGTGGTGAGCAGCTAGATAAGCAACCCCTCTAGGCTCTAGTAATCGTTGCACGAACCCCTAATTGAGCTATGTTAGAACTTCATTAGATAACACTGTTCCTCCCTAAAACGCTTATTTCTTAGTATGTGTAGAAGACTAGAAAGGACGATAATAGGCGTACACTATATCGGACGGGTACGATAAATTACTCTTTGTAGTTTAGTTTGTCTACTTATGGTTTAGCGCTCTTTGTCCTTACGCCTCCCCGTGCGTAGTTCTATATAGTCCCCTACTCTTCCCCCTTCTATCCGATAGCCCTAATATTCTTTTTCGCCTTCTTTCTCCTACGCCTTATAGGTGAGGCATTTTTACTATTGACCCGGATTACCTAGCTCCTAAGCTCCGCTACCCCTTTTTCCCTATATAACTCGTCGGCTCTTCTGCGAACCCGCGTCTACAATCCGAATGTTACGGACCTACCAGGCACCAATCAATTATGGGGCCGCAACTTACTGATGGGCCACCGAGAGCCAACCGATCTATCTGTTATTAGATCACGTGCAGTACCTTATACTCCAGACACCCCGAGTATTCAAGGAAAAGAGAAACACAATCATGCTCAGTGAGCGCTTAGTGAGCAAAAGCATGATTGACCCTAAGCGGACCCACCCGGCAGACTTTATCCTGTACATATGTAGCTCTATATAATAGACAGGGTCTACACGCCAATAGGCCACTTTCGGCCTTCCGTTCGCCGTCTTATTGTATACCGCAATAACTAATAAGACGACCACCACGTGATCATGTAAGTAGTAGAAAGGTCAACAGTCGATAGGTAGATCTTGCTAAGCCAGATCTACCACTCTACTTTCTACTGCTCTACTTAGGGAGGACTCAGGATATATAAGGACACTCATTTATATATCTAGTTTAGTTCTTCGTGTTCAATCTTATATTGTTACTTATGTCTACTGTTCAGAACCTTTGGTGACTCGTATAACTTGATTATAACTTAACAACACTACGACTAGACCAATACTCCGGTATAGATCTATTCGGCGCTCTATCTAGCATCGCTCCTCGATACCCTCAAAAGGACTTAGCCCGTATAAGGCCTATTAGGCAACGGTACGGTTAAGAGATAGATCGTTAACGTTAGAAGCAGAAAAGCATTAGGCAAGTATAACCTAGGAATCTTCTAGCATAGCGACGACCCGTTAGTCGTGCGTAACACATTAAACACCGTCTCGAATCAAGTTCGAGTTATTAAGCAACTATGGCCTCTAGTACGCAGAGAGGAAAGACCCTAACCGGTGGCCGACCCTAAGACGATTGGGAAGATAAGCAAGAGAAAAAGGTCAAGAGCCTAGAGCATAAGATCCGGGAGCTCACCGAGAAACTCAATATACTCGGCACCGACTACGAAAAGCAGATACCTAGCGTGAACGACCACCTATAGCAACTCTATGCCTAGGTTGTCGCTTTAGCACCTACTAGTGTAGTCTAAGGGCCACGACTACCTAAAGCTAAGTGCTTCGAAGGGAACCGAACCAAGCTTCGAGGATTCCTCACTTAGATAGATATATATATAGATATAAATAAATCCAAGCTTCCTACCGAAGTAAGCAAGGTGATTTTTGTGTCAACCTACTTACGAGGATAAGCATAGGACTAGTTTGAACCATATATCCGCGATTATTACGGAAAGCTAAGAGAAGCGTGGTCTATAACCACGACCGATATCTTTAATGACTACGCCAATTTCCGTTAACATCTCGAAAACACTTTCGGAGACATTGACGCCGCTAGAACCGCTAAACGTAAGCTATAGCGTATCCGACAAACATATTTAACTTTAGTATATACCTCTAAGTTCTTATAGATTATCTCGTATTTAGATCTACTAGATAGAGCGTATATTCTATACTTCGAAGCCGGACTAAAATCTAACGTTAAGGATGAACTTACGCGTATCGACCGACCTAGAACGCTAGATTAACTTATTAAGGTCGTAGTTAAAATCGATAACCGCAATAGCGAGCGACGCCGAGAACGATAGGAGATAGATTAGTAGAAAAAGGGCAAATCACACGGATTTAACCGGTATAACTCGGGGCGACGGGAGTATCACTAACCCGCCCGAGATAGCGATCTATATAGACTAAAGCCGATAGAGCTAGACGCTACTCGTGAAGAACAAGACGAGCGGAAGAAAAAGAATCTTTGCTTTAACTACGGGAAACTAGGACACCGCGCGAGAGAATATAAGCAAAAGAAATCGTACGACAAACGACTATAATAGCTACGGGCGACACGCGAGGAACTACGTGCGACCTAGGAGTCCTAAAACGACTAGGACTAGAGCAACGAACTCCACGAGCGACTCTTATCGGTCTAGACCGACTAAGAAGCCGACTAAGGCCTCCGCTAATACGATAGCGCGGAAGAGATCGAGTTTCTAGAAATAGATTTAGACACGGTCGAGAGCTAAGGGTAGACATAGTATATGTCCTAGGAACGATAGAACGAATCCCTAGGAACAGTCCACGATTCCTAGGAGTAGGGCATAGGGCTTTCGGGAGCTAACGAGGCGCTCCTAGGAACCGCCTATAGCCTAGGAACCGGATCCACACTCCTAGGAACGGATTAAGAGATCCCGGAAACACCTATCGAAAGTCCTAGGAACGAGCATCGCTAAGCTAGGAGCGATAAAGAAGCCGACAAAAATGTGGCCAAACTTATAGAAGAGATTTAGACCGACTACCTAGATTAACACCTCGTAGTAGTAATCGAGGAAGATAAGGAACCGGAAGAATGTCCTTGCTAGGACGCCCTATACGCCTACAAAGGGTATACACGACACCCCGACCATAGTAAGATAGCCACTATTATGTGTTATGATAAGACGTGCACGGTTCACGGACTAGGCAAATTAGATTACGGTATTAAACCCGGACCACTACGGTAGATAAAGAAGCCACAATAGAAACCCGAGTACTAAGGAGTTTGGTATAACGGACGACAAATCTACGATCACGATTATTAGAAGATCGAATAGCTAGCTGTAACCACGGGATTTCACATTAAGCTGTATGTGATGTTACCTATAGGGAAAGCATAGACACTTATCGACTCGGGAGCCACTAACAACTTTATGAACCTAAGATTCGTGACCGACCACGAAGTACCTATAGTACTATTAGCGTAGCCAATCCTAGTTCTTAGACTTGATAGAGTAGGGCTCGCACGAGGCATTATACACACTAGCAGCACACTACCTATGTCTACCTACGGACACCTAGAATTGATTAAGTTCAATATTTTAGAAATAGGAGACTACGACATCGTATTAGGCATTCTATAGCTACGAAAGCACAACCTAAGCATTAATTAGCAAACGGAAAGGATCACCTTTAATAGATATACGTGTAAGAAAGATTATAAA